CCCGCAGTTTTTGTCGCTACCGGTACCGGTTTTTCCGGCAAATGCTTCTAGCTAAACAAATTAAGATTGGCCGCCAGAACTGTTAGAAAACACTCCCTTAAAATTTCAGCTTCCTAGCTTTCCTGACTCCCGAGTTAGCAACTTACCCGAAAAAAACTTTGGCAGGCCCGTATGTGGGTACCATGCGTACCCGGAGTCTTTTTTTGAGCTCAGTAAGACTTAGGTGAACGTGGAATATCCTCCTAAAATTACAGTCGTTTAGCTTTTCAAATTCCCGAGTTATCAACTTAGCCGGAAAAAAATTTGGCGGGCCCGTGCGTGGGTATCAAGCATACCCGAGGGCTGGGTTTGAGCCCATTAATACCCACTTGGACGGGGAACATCCCCTTAAGATTTCAGCTTTCTACCTTCTCAGATCCCCGAGTTATGAACTTACCCGTAGAAGATTTTGGCGGGCTCTTACGTGGGTACCACGCGGGTAATGACGCCCATTTTGGGGATTCGGGCCCGTACGTGCATATAGATTAAGTTTTCAAAATTTCAACCTTGCAGCTTTTATAGGTCTTGAGATGAAAAATCGGGACAGACGCACGCACAGACACACGGACACACAAGCAACCCCTCGTCAATATGCGTTTTTGCATTGCATAGCTGCAAAAAACGCATAAAAAGTAAATATCGCCTCCAGAGAACCATAAAGTTAAAAATTAGTTTTGCTGACTAAAAGGAACCAACAGCGGCATGAGAATGAGTGCCCAAAACTCTCAAATTTGAAAGGTTTTATGTTGGAATTAGCTCCAAAAAACTTTCGAAAACTAGCCCACAAGATGTACATCTCAATTTCATACTCTGATCAGCAGCTATTTAATCTTCGTGCTCCATACTGCCGATGAAACAGACTTTTTCTCTGTTCTGAGCTCACCGCAGCAGTGTAACTCTAAGTACGCGTTTAGACAGACCTGCCCAAATTACTGGCAGCCCTTCAAAATTCCTTTAACATAGCACAGCTACCGTCCAACAACCTATTTTGTTCAGCTGTTTTCTCTTATTCATGCGACATGGCCACACCAGCTCTTCTTCTTGGCTAACTCTCAGCAGGCTTGGTAGTCTGTGTTTCCTTCCAAGCAGCGTCACAGCTGATGCTCTGTTGTAGTTGGGGAAGAAGTAACGTGTAACATATCACTGCAGAAAAGAAAATAAAATCCAATGAACAGAACATAATGCCCACCATGCTAACAATCGATGGACAATGAGTATCAGTGAGCAGTATTCGCGATAAAGTAAACGACCAGTCAGACGCTCTTCAAAGAAATGACCATGTATCCCTCCAACAGGCAGTGGATTGATGGCAGGAGATATGCAGCTTAGGACTGAAGGACTTTATATGGCTGCGCCCGGTCCGCGACAGCATATCAGTAACACTGCTAACCTAATTTCCACCGACTGTACTAGAGGCTTTGGCAATCCTAGTAAGGACTGACTGTATAGTAAAAATGACTGCTTTTGAGGCGCAGTAGAAAAGTAGCATCTGAGGTTCCCTATACTGCCAAACAAATGACTCCTCACACCAAAATTATATGGGACATTGTGGCGTTGGCGGCCCTCGTTATCCGTCGGTTGCTCTCGATATCGTAAACGAGAACGTGAAGAATCCAAGAGCCCCAAATCATACTCTCGTCGCTTTTTCTTGTCCTTGAGAACCTCATAAGCATCTCTGATTTCCAGATATAGCGCTGCATGCTTATGTCCGTCACCTGAGCATTTTGAAGCATCCGGATGGTGCTGAAACAAGCGAAAACAGATTATTTGGAAGAGCCCACTCCCTCTCCTCCTTTGCTGCCACTTTTCGCAACCAGCAACTTGGCTAATTAGCACAATTTCCTTAACAAAAGAGTGCTCTAAATAAGCGTTTAGTGTTAAATTATTCTTTAAATTTCCAAATCCAAAAATCATACTTCGCTGTAGCAGAAAGATAGCACAGTCTCTGAAACGCAACATATGATGACGAATAAAGAAAAATATGAAACTGAGAGATAATTCAACACCGAAGGTAGATAAAATCCAAAGGTATTTCCATCTGAATCCGATACTGCCAGTACAGCAGTGACATGAACAAAGAGTCACAGATTTAAGGAGCCGGCTGAGTGAATAGATGCGCTGCCTCACCCAATAATTCAATTCTTCGGTCTTCTGTCCCCTGTTTTCTCGCTCATGACATCCTGTCAAATCATGCAAGCCATACAATCAAGAAGTGGGACTACCTCAGAGAAACTGCCCACCTATTTAGTAGCACCCTCATCGGATTATTTGGGGACCAGTGTAGTTAATTTCCTTGCCTAATCACTTTTTTAATCGCTCTTCTGAAGCTACAGACTTCCATTATTTCGTCTGGAACTGAACCTAATATCTAAACTCCTGAAATGGAAAATCCATCTGTGGATTAACGCAGCTCACGAAAATCGGAGACAGGAACAAATTTTCCGCTTTTTGGTTCTTCACACTTCGGTAGTTGAATCATCCGGACATACGCATACACAGTTGAGCAAAACTGCACTATAATGCAGTTTATAAGCATAAAAAAATTGCCTTTTTCGACAATTTATAAAAGGCGCTTTTGATTTCAGCTGCTGTGGCATCCGGTTTCACACCCAACACATCGTAGTATGTTCTGCTCGAGTCGCTGCGATATGCGCGCAGCCCACGATACGAGAAATAATACAGAGGCCGAGCAAACACTGGTCTCACAGCACCATCGAAGCGTGGCATATACACCTGCGCGACCACTTTTCTTGAAAATATAACTGCCCCGCTCAACAGCACCGCTAAAGATCGATCCGGGAAGAGCTGGGGTGTATAAAAGCATGCAGATACCTTCAACAGAAGGGGAAGAACGTGAACTCCGACCTGCAAATGCTTCTAAATCGCAATGAAATGGATTGGGTGATGTTAAAGCTGAGCAACAATTTCGCAGGAATGGACAAGCGAATACAGGATGCAGTGACCCGGGCCGCTTTCGCGACATCCCCAACAATAAGTATCGGCGTCGATAAGCAGTACTTGAAATAAACGGTGGCGCGCACCAGGGTAGCTGCTGTGATCATGCATTTTTGCACTGGACATGAAGTGCTCAGGTCATTAACTGCATGAATTGTTACTTTACACCCACCTTTTGCGGTCACTAGCATATATCACTATAAATTTTGCATAAAGTAAATGTATAATTTCTATTTAACGGTCGTTCTTTAAAAGTAACCTAGCAGTTCAGTGAGAAATTTTCCCGCCAAAACTTTCAAGTGCCCATACGCAAGAACCACGCATATCTCAAGGCTGAATTTGAAATACTTAAGTTGTACTTGGGCAGGGGACATTCCTCTAAAATTTCAGCTTTCTAGCTTTTCTGGTTCCCGAGTTAATTTTCCCGCAGAAAATTTCATACGCCCTAACGTGAGTATAACACATAGCTGGAAGCAGAATTTGAAATATTTGAGTTGTGCTTGGACAGGGAACATTCCACAAAAATTTCAGCCTCCAAGCTTTTCTGGTTACCGAGTTAGCTATTTTCCCGCCAAAACTTTACAGGCGCGTACTTGGGTACTTCACGTGCCTGGGAAACTGATTTTGAAATTTTCAAGTTGCACATGGACAGGGAACATCCCCCTAAAATTTCAGCCCTCCAGCCTTTTTAGTTGCCGAGTTAACAATTCTCTCGCCAAATCTTCCACGTGCTCGTACGTAAGAATCACGCATAACTGAAGGCTGGATTTGAAATATTTAAGTTGTACTTGGACAGAGGACATTACCCCAAGATTTCAGCTTTTTGGCTTTCCTGGTTCCCGAGTTAGCAATTTTCCCGCCAAAACTTTCATACGCCCTTACGTGAGTAGCACAAATACCTGGGGGCTGAATTTGAAATCTTTAGCTAACAGCGCACAAGGAATATCCTTACAAAGTTCCAGCCCCTTACGTTGTCTGGTTCCCGAAATCGCTCTCCCGTCAAAAAATGTTTTTCCAATTTGCATGAATGCAAAAACGCATAAAAATAGTAGGAATGCTGTCTCGTCCCTAATTTGCGAAATTTTCCACTAAAGCCTTTTGCAGTAAACATCCTTCTCAAATCAACCCCCTAATTTTCTGGCTTTTGAGTGATTTTCGAGCCAAAACTTTTATGCGTTCGTGCGTGAGACCTCCGCATACTTGGGAATTAAATTTGAGTTCGTGTGGCCCCTGCATAAGCAGAAAACATCCTCCTGAAATATTCAGCCTCTTACCTTTTTTGATTTCCGGGTAATAATTCTCACCAAAACATTCACAAGGACGTTGAGACCCAGGGACGCGTGAAAGCTGAATTTGAATTTGCAGGAGCGTACGCGGGCAGAGGACAGTAACCAAAAATTTCGGTTCCCCAGCTCTCGTGGTTCTTAAAATAATCTCCCCCACTAAAACTTTCACAGGGTCGTACGTGGTACCCGGACCTGAGGGGAAGCTGAATTTAAGGTTCCGGAGTCATATGTGGGCAGGGGACATTGCCGGTAAGTTTCAGCTCCTCAGCTTTTGTGATGGGCGAAATAATTTCTCCGCCAAAATCTTTACGGGGCCATACGTGATAACTGAGTGCGCAGAAGGCTGAATTTATATTTATGGGGTTGTATATGGGCAGCGCACATTACCTTAAAATTTCAGCTTTCTAGTTTTTGTGTTTCTCGAGATAATTTTCCCAACCAAAACTTTCACAGGATCATATGTGATATCCGAGGGCGCGGGAACGCTGAACTTAAATTTGTGAATGGTTGTATGTGGACAGCGAACATTATTGCAAAATTTCAGCTTCCCAGTTTTCGTGGTTCCCGAAATAACGATTTTCCCTGTTAAAGTTTTCGCGGGGTCATACGTGGTACCCGCGGGCAAGTGGAGGCCGAATTTAAGTTTGCAGAGTCACACATGAGCGGGGAACATTCTACCAAAATTTCAGCGTCCCAGCTTTCGTGGTCCTCGTGTTGAAAATGCGGGACAAAACACATACGCAGAGACAACCCCGTGACAATACACGTTTTGTACTGCTTTTGCGCAGCACAAAACGTATAAAAAAGCTTAAGTGTTTTAGCCGAAAAAGCTGCTTTGCCTTAGAACTCGGAATTCTGTCATTGTGGAGCTAAAGAGCTGCACCACAGTGCAAATGCATCATTTACTGTTACATCGATCTGACTATAGAAACTGCACTACTGTGCTACTGGCAGACGAAAAACACACCTGTCTTTTTTGACTATTTACGATTGAATGAAGTTAATTTTGCAATATACATAAACAATAGGAGAACTTGCAAAAGTATTCACTCACACATACCTACACACACACACACACACACTCAAACACAAATAAAAAAAGCGCAGTGCGCTTGTATAAAATTAATAGGGCATGAAAAAGAATGTGGAAAGATGGAGTCCACCAACACAGCACAATTCACTTAAAAAGCGCAAACAAACATTTATCGAGAAATATGTCAAATACTTTCAGTAACAGCGCTATGTAACCACATTTCGCAATAAATCCTTAGGATCAGGGAGGAAAAACAATGATAAACTCGTTGCAACGACTGCTGTGAACAGCAAATCATACATCCGAAAAACCAGTCAACCTACTTATATACATGAAAAATCTAGCAAAAATTAAAGCATGTCTTCCCGATAATACCGCGACTGATGCACTGATTAGCTGTGTCGTGTCCTGTCCAACTAGGTCTGGACGGAACGGACCGCTGACAACCTGACCAGTACGAAGTAACTGAGTAAACAAGGGTCGTCCAGTCGAGTATCCTGCGTACCTCTCAGTCCGATCTATGGCGGCGAATCAATTACCAAAGAGTAACGGACTGCTAGGAACCACAGGTTACCAAATGATGGCATGTCCAAAGCACGAAGACGGATCGAACACACTGTAATACTGAAGCAATGCTGCTCGATGCTGGCTAAGTGTG